GTAGTTAGAGAACATTTTCACCTACTGAGGAATGCTCTTGTACATTGGGGACCATGAATATTGTGCTTTCCTCAACATTTTATGCTTAAGAAGAAAATACTATGAAATCGAGACTCCTATGCTCAAATCCTGGCAAACTCTAGTCAACTCTTCCATGCTGCTTATAGTATTTCATCTCCTCATGATCTTTTCTTCCATCACATTGGCTTGAAAACTCCGGGATTTCACCAAGTGAGTCCAACAAAGTATGAATATTTTAAGCAACTATCACTGTTCTCAAAGGAAAGGAAATTGTCAACAAAAATAAAGCACTGTTGTGTTTACTAAATTTCTGGAAGTGAAAAAAATCATTGTTGCTGTTTACCTTTTCACAAAATACAGATCAATATTCCAAATGAGAGTCACCGTTATGGAAACCTATATGCTTTTATTTAATCCCTTGATGTCATAGGCAATTTAAACACAGGGATTACATCAATATGCCATTTATTATTTAAAGTTTCAAAACACTGTGTGAAGTTAAAATTTATTATTTCATGGGCCTACTGAAAAATCAATTTTTCAGCATGCTGCTGAATTCAAGGTCATAGCAATTAAGTGGCTGCTTTTTAGTTCAGTGTCTTGTGAGTCCCAATTACAAGCTGTCCTGTGGAGGCTTCTTGAAAGTAATAAATGTAATTCTCTGTTGCATCTCATCATGGGATTGTTAACCACAGCAGGGCAAAATTGTTCAATTTTATTTACTTACTTATTTTATAGATAATAGTTACATCTGTTGCTTTCAGATTACAATAACTTCATGAAAGGCAGCCCAAAGCAAATATGATGCAATATCAAGTTCAACTGATTCAGGGTTATTCAGAAACCACAAAAGTTTCTATTATACCTTTCCCTGATGAACAAGGAAATGAGGCAATTTCCTTGAAAACTTGAAAAAAACATATTGAATCTCAAGGGAAACAAAAGCAAAAATGAACAAATGGGTCTATGTCATGCTAAAAAGCTTCTGTACAGCAAAGGACACCATTAGCAGAACAAAAAGGCATCCCACAGTATGGGAGAATATATTTGTAAATGACATATACAGCAAGGGGTATATATATCATATATGTCATTTACAAAACAAAGTTACCCCTTGTCATATATGTATATCCAAAATATATAAAGAACTCACATGCCTCAACACCCAAATAGCAAATAATCCTATTAAAAAATGGACAGAAAATATGAACAGATGCTTCTCCAAAGAAGAAATTCAGATGGCCAACAGCACATGAAAAGATGCTCCACATTGCTAATTATCAGAGAAATGCAAATTAAANCTTTATTTTGAATTCTTTTTCAGGGAGATTGGTTAGGTCTATCTCCCCAGATTCCTTCTCAGAGGAGGATGTCTGGGTTAGTCTGGTCTATATCAAATTTTTCTGCCTTTTCATGGAGATAGAGGTAGTTGTGGGGAGCTAGCACATGTGTTGGCTGGAAGAACGTCCCTTCTTGCTGGTTTGTGGCCTTCCTCTTCTGGGAGAATGGCGACCCCTAGCGGCTTGTGCTGTACAGCTACGTGTAGATGGGGTTTCTAATTCTTGTCTGTCCGCTGTGAAAGAAGCTCTGCCCTGCTGCAGTGGGCATGGCCAGGCTCAGGCTGCTGTTCCACTGTGGCGGAGCCGTGTCAGAATGGAAATGGGCAAAAGGCTGTTTATCACCATGAGGGGCCTCCGAACTGCACTGCTGCCCAGGGGATTAGGGTGCCCAGAGTTCCCTGGAATTCCCAGCTGCTGGGCTAAGTGTCTCAAGATGCTTCCTTCCAGCTGTGGGGTCCCTGTCCCTGTAAGACTTTCAAAAAGCACTCACTTTTCTTTGTCCCAGGGACTCCAGCTGCGGGGACCCACTCGCACGTTTTACTTATTTGTCTACAGACATTTTACATATGTTTAAGGAATGTGAAAGTAAATTCAATAAATTAGTTTGTGGGCACACCAGTTAAGTGGTGCAGATAATTGTTCAACTAGATATCTATAGTTAATCAATGTTAGGCTTAAACCAGTTCTCTAACTACTTAGACATGAAGACAGCCAGAGAAGTCAGATCAGAACAGTGTTATTTGAAAGCATTAAAAGTCAAATCTACCTCATTAATCTCCTACCTCTAGTCCCTCCAGTTTATGTGTGTAGCAAAAGAAACACAGGATTAGGAGTTGGAACATTAGGAACAATAATATTAAATAACTATAACAGCTAATATTTATTAAGAACCTTTCAGGGATTTTGTTGATGACCTATGTTTAGCCTCACAATAATTCTAAATAGGTAGGATATGTTTTTGCCCCCATTTCACAGGTGAGGAAATAGAGGTTCAGAATGGCTAAGTGACTTCCCTGTTATATAGCTGGACAAATAGGCAGGAATTACACAGATGCCACCACACTGTTAAGCCCTATGCTCTGTTGTCCATAATGAAGGTATGTACAAGGGGCTATAGAAACCATAAGGTAAGTATGCCAGGTAGTTAGAGAACATGTTCACACTACTGAGGAATGATCTTGTACATTGGGGAACATGAATATTGTGCTTTCCTCAACATTTTATGCTTAAGAAGAAAATACTATGAAATCAAGACTCCTATGCTCAAATCCTGGTAAACTCTAGTCATCTCTTCCATGCTGCTTATAGTGTTTCATCTCCTCATGACCTTTTCTTCCATTCACATTGGCTTGAAGACTCCGTGATTTCACCAAATGAGTCCAACAAAGTATGAATATTTTAAGCAACTATCACTGTTCTCAAAGGAAAGGAAAATGTCAACAAAAATAAAGCACTGTTTTGTTTACTAAATTTCTGGAATTAAAAAAAATCATTGTTGCTGTTTACCTTTTCACAAAATACAGATCAATATTCCAAATGAGAGTCACCGTTATGGAAACCTATATGCTTTTATTTAATCCCTTGATGTCATAGGCAATTTAAATACAGGGATTACAGCAATATGCCATTTATTATTTAAAGTTTTAAAACATTGTGTGAAGTTAAAATTTATTATTTCATGGGCCTACTGGAAAATCAACTTTTCAGCATGCTGCTGAATTCAAGGTCATAGCAATTAAGTGGCTGCTTTTTAGTTCAGTGTCTTGTGAGTCCCAATTACAAGCTGTCCTGTGGAGGCTTCTTGAAAGTAATAAATGTAATTCCCTGCTGCATCTCATCATGGGATTGTTAACCACAGCAGGGCAAAATTGTTCAATTTTATTTATTTACTTATTTTATAGATAATAGTTACATCTGTTGCTTTCAGATTACAATAACTTCATGAAAGGCAGCCCAAAGCAAATATGATGCAATATCAAGTTCAACTGATGCAGGGTTATTCAGAAACCACAAAAGTTTCGATTATACCTTTCCCTGATGAACAAGGAAATGAGGCAATTTCCTTGAAAACTTAAAAAAAA